GTACATTGAGGTGTTAAGAGCATTTACATGATAAGCACAGTACCTGCGCAGTCCCAGCCAGATGTAGTCTGTGAGGGTGAAGGGAAGGCTGCCCAGCAGCTGCTCCAACTCGTCTTGCTCCTGTCGGCTGTGAAGGCTGAGCAGGTCCCAGTGATAATGTCTACAGTACATCAGAGCATCAGACCAGCAAAGCCTCTTTCCCACAACCATCACATTCCTTTCGCCCAGCAGCACGCTCACAGTGGGAGGAGATGGTGGAGGAGTTGGTGGAGGAGTGACAGCTTTGGGGGCTGAAAAGAAAAATCTTGACAGGTTGCGTTTGTTCCAACCATGTTTGGTTGTTTTCATTTTGTTTTAACAGGCTGAATTGTAAGGTTGCTTTCAGCTCCAAATTAAAACATGAATACTGAGAGGTGGAAAGCAATATAGAGACAATATAGAAAGCAACAGCAAGCACATGCAACCACAACATATGGTGCTAGAAACAAACACACCACGGCCATACCAGAGAGAGAAGCAAACACCTCCACTTCACACATCGTCAGTATTTTCTGAGGTCCTGGTAAGAACACAGTGATGTAGCGACCTTCCATTTCATTACACTGGAATGTGTGTGTTGGGGAACTCCCTAATGAATTGATAGTGCCACACCTGATAGATTTACACAAACATCAAACTTATTTTATCTACAAAAGAAAATGTTTTGGCTAAACAATAATGTGCTGTTGTTTAAATGAGAAAAATAAAATCATAAAAATTTATGGAGAAATCGTGTCCTACATGGAGTTTTTAATTCCATTTTGATCCAGTGAGTTCCCAATCAAGATCTGCGCCCCAATAAGCCTGTAAGCTGTACTCTCGACTCTGTTGATGATGGTGACAGCAGTGACCTCATGGAGACCCAACAAGTCTATGTGCCACCAGGGAGAGTCCTCTGTTGGTGAAGTGTGGGTACAGCATCCTTGTGGCATTTGTCCATTTCTGCATCCATCGACAGCTTTTGAGGCCCAATATTCTGTCCCAGACCAAGTCGATGACTGGACTGTTTCTTTGTTTAAGGCCACATTTGGAAGCGGTTCCACTGAGTATCGAAAAGAACAAACAGACATGAGTCATTATCAGGCAGGTGTGTTTCAATAGATCAGATTCACTCACTAAAAGCTCTACCTCGGGCAGCATACACCTCCACTTCACACAGGGTGAGAGTTTTCTTCTGTCCAGGAAGAAACAGGTTCACAAAGCGACCCTCCATGCTGCCTCCGTCACACTGGTATGTGTAGGTTTTACCCGCTTTTATGTGGGAGATGGAAGCACATCTGACAGACGAATATATGCAGACAATATTCTGTTAATATGGATTTTCCCAAAGTTGGATAGCATGTATCTCTTAATTTCATTTCATAATGAAAATTGAATTCTCATCATTACTTGGGATTATTGTTTCCATTGTTCTCCAGTGAGTTCCCTATTCGGATCTCAGCTCCATCCAGTCTTTCAGCACAGCAATCTCCTCTGTTGGTGACTTTTACAGTAGTGATTGTAAAGCTGTGCTGCAGGTCTACCCGCCACCAGGGGTCGGTCTCGTCTTCAGCAGTGTGGCTGCAGAACCCATTGGTATAGAACGAGTTCCGTCTACCGTCGATGGCTTTGGATGCAGCAGCAAAAGAGAGCGTAGATGACTGAGTAGCTTCTCCTTTAAGTGCTAAATTGGATGATGGGTATCCTTGAAAGAAAACCAGGAAAAGTCGGTTTCTGCAGAAGGTGCACTGTGCAGTTATTTTAAAGGTCACACTTAATTTTCACAACATTTTCTGAGTTTCAGAGTCTATGAAATACCAGACGTCTGTATCAGCATCAGACTGAAATATGATTACCATAGTACACTTCAACCTCACAGAGACTTAGGATCTTCTTGCTTCCAGGGAGAAACACTGTGACGTATTGTCCTTCAAAAGACCTGCAGGGAAAGTAAAATGTCTGTCCACTGGGAAAGTGAGAGATCACAGCACACCTGTGTATGCAAGAGCCCAAAAAAAACAGAAAGAAAGTGAAGGAATAAATCTTATTCACATAATTATTTCATTATTTGGGGCTTTATCAAGTGTTTTCACCTCATGCTTTCATGGTCATTGATCTCTGTTGACTTTCCAATCCAAATTTCAGCACCATCCAGCCCGTTTTCTAGTTCTACTGTACTGGTAATTAGTACAGCGCCGATTGTGTACACTTTCTTCAGGTCTACCCTCCACCAGGGATCAGATTGTGAGGTGGTAAGTGTGCAGGACCCTCTTTGATAGCTCGAGTCTCTGTTGCCATCAACTGCCTTGTCAGCAAAACCCAGGCTGTCATTGTTTGAGGACTGTACAGCATTCTGATTCAGTGCCAGGTTTTGGAGGAGATGACCTTATTAAGAAAAAAAACTGTAGTAATTAGTCAAATTAATAGATTGCTCTGGGAGTCGAGGGTGGTGGGAAGGGGTGTTGGAGTAGGGTTGTACCTGTTGGTGCACCAGATTCCATCAAGAAGAAAATACCTGTTAACATAAAGTATTTAAAGAGCTTTAGTTTTTCTCCCTTTTAAAGACTATATAAACAGCAGAGGTGGGAGGGTCGATCCAAATATCTATAGTGTCGATTGACATCATATTGATACTAGCATAACAGATTCAGTGTCAATAACAGATGTTGAACAAAAGTTCTTTAGAGACAGGCACATTCTAGGCCTCCAAAAAATACATGAAAAGTTTAACAATATGTTTTGTTGGTAGATGGTTATTGTGGAAAGTAAAAATCACAGTGATTCAGTGGTCGTTAAAATGTGTTCTGAATTTGCGTCTTAATGATGAATCATGACATACCACTCTCCCCTACATGAGCTGCTTTAATAGGTTAACAGCATTCTCAAAGACATCACTGCTGAAAAAGATGTCATCAATACTTTAAATAATAAAAGGTAAGCAAAATATAAAATAATAATAATAATTATAATAATAAAATACTTACATCTTACAATGTGGACTTGGTAATATGCTTAGTGTTTTTGGTCAACAACCAAATTCTGCAAAACACTCAACCCTACAACTTGCATTATTTTGCATTACTTTGCATTATTTATCTCATTTGCTGAGTTTTGTTTGCAATGTGAAAGATGACGACACAACTGTTTATAAAAGTGCCAAAAAAAGAGAAAGAAAATGAAAAAAGTCTTCTTCACATAACAACTGTAGAATGATTATTTCACCCGATGCTGTTTTTTGTTGAAATTGGGATTCAGATTTCAGCATTATCCAGCACATTTTCTAATTCTGCTGTATTTGTTATCATTTCAACATCAAGTCCCTCCACCTGCGGTTGGACTGTAATGTGGTAAGTCTGAACTACTCTGATAGCTGAGGCGTCTTTTCCAGTCAACTATTTGCCAGCAAAGCCCAAAAAAGCCACTGCACAAACGTGTTTGTAACTGTCGCGAGCTGATGGCTGGTATGTGTGAGTGTAGAGTGACATGCAACTCTTTAGTGGATATTATGTCTGACACTGAAGCCCTGTGCTGAACAAAGGGAGCGTGTCCAAACGAAGCCCGTGTCGATCGTTCTTCAGAATATCACGTGAACAAAGATAAACAGGGCTCTGAAATGACATGACTGTTAATGCCTCATTATGTGATTTGAGCCTTTGAAGCATTGCAGGAAAGACACTCGTATTTGTCTTTCCAGCAAAACCCACATTTTCATTGACTGAAACAGAGGAAACAGAGGAGAAATATACTAGAGCCTAAAAACACTCTTACATCCAAAAGAAAGATAATATAAGCCCGAAACAAAAAACAAAACATTTGGTCAAACCCAGGACCATGAGATTGGAACGGGTTCTTGATTTTTCAAAATAGGCACCCAAAGAGGAAAGAATTAAGGGAAGATAATATTCCACAACATCTCTAAGTGAGCAAAGCAGGTTATGAGTAAAAGAAGAGTACATTTTGTGATTGTGCACTTTTTTCCTTCATAATTGTGGTTCATGGTGTGGGTTTTAGATAGATTAAAACAATAAAATATCTGGCATTGATTCTTTATATGGGAAAATACATTTAGTAAAAGGTAATTTGTCTTACCTGTGAAGATCCAAATATAATCCATGCCATTCATGTCTCCTTGAAATGTCACATTGATTATGAAATTGAACAAATGACATTAATTGCTCGTATACACCAGCTGGCAAGTAGAGGACTTACTTTCTCCGTAGTTTTCTTCAGAGTACTACAAATAACATACTGGATTTAGTCTGGTAAAGGAGAACATTTGGAACTTTAATGAGTGTTCGTCAATGTTTGCATGAAGGAAGACACACCCAAATTTGGGTCATCCAAACAACTTAATTTGCACTTTCTGTGAGTTTCCTGACACTGCCAGCCCCTTAAGTTTCTATGTTTTGCAAATGTTTTGCATTTGAACGGTCTCACATGTCAGAGCACTGACAAAGAGTCAGAGCACTATTGAGCTACTTGACCTAGCTCTCTTAGCTAATTTTAGACTGATTTTTAGTCAGGATTCAGAATTCATCAAAGTACAATACAGGTGGTGGTGTGAGTGGATTCCACTTTGTTAATGTTGACAAGGCCACTCAACCAAATATAATTTTGGCTGTTCATTACACTTTGCCGAAAGCTTCTTGGGCCACAGCTTTGGAAGCTGCCTCATCCAGCAGCTTTCGTAATATTTACCATCAAGCCAGGAAATGGCCAGTGCACGTGTTTTAATAGGACTCTCCTCAGTTTGCTGCATACTCTGTCGTGTTCAGAGAGACTAGAATTCATCTCAGCCCCAGCTATGCTAGTGTTATAATAACACTCTTATGCAGGCCAGTGTATGTTCTTTTGCGTCGACCCCATTGCAAGAGATGTTCATGTGGGGATTCAGGAGCACCAAATCCCACTGCACGTTATGTTTCAAGGAATTAGGGAATGACTGCTGACCACAGAAAAAAGAATTTTGACCAACATGTTAGAGATGCACCACTGAAAGGTGGCTAATTAGTATTTCTGCACAGCATGGCTGGGAGGAGTATGAGAGATCTGTGGAGTGAAATATACTGTAGGGTATATAGAGTCCAGAAAGGACCTAAAGAGAGTGGGGCAGTATATACACTTGCATCTTCAGATAGCCATAGCAAAGTAAACCATGTTCATTGTAGCTTTCTAAAGGATGTAATATGATAATTTGTTGTATAATACTTTTCATATATTATGTTACACATTACGCTGAGAGTGGTTCTGTTGCTGAGTTGGAGTCATCCTGTTATCTCATCCTGCTTCAATGACGGGAACACAAGTGAGGAGAGATGTTACATCATACGAAACCATCTGCCTCCATAATGACGTCTCTCGCCTTCTCAGAAAAATCCAGAAATGTGGTGTTTAGAGCTGACTACCAACAGGTTGAGGATCAAAGCCAGAAACTTTGAGATGTTATAGATGACCAAGTTGATCAAATAAACAATATGATCTTACAGGTACACCCCTTGTACCTGTTCTCAGTATCTTCAGTAAACCATACAGAATTGGTGCAGTTTCCCCTGGTTATAGCCTGTGGTATGAGGTCCGGTTAATAGCATCGTCCTGTTTCAGACAATCTTCCTGTAACTACTTCCTGGGTCTCGTTTCAGGGGCTCATAATTTTCCCATGATAGTCTTTCTGGTTTAGCAAAACTGCGCACCAACCCTTGTCTGACAGAAGGACGACAATGTTGTTGTCTTTACTAAGCAATGTGAGGGCTGGGGGCTTTGCATTGCAGCGATAGGCCAAAACTTCCACATCTGCTTTCACATCTGCACTGTGTTTTTTTTAAATTGCTGATTTTGTGGCTGTGATCATTTCCACTCGTGAGATTTTTCTCAGTGTTCAGTCATTTTGCGAGAATGTTGTTCACTGCTTGAGTGACTTGTCTGCCAGAAACATGCTCATGTATCCACATCCTCAGTGTGGCATCTTTCTCTCATCTAGCGGCTGAGAATACGCTCTGTGTTTTGCTGATGTCAACAAGTAAGTCAAACTTGCTTTGTTGCCTGGTCTTAGACTGTTCATGCTGTGCTGGATGAGCCTTTTCAATGAATTCAAACACCATTTGAAGGGTATTCTCATCTAGACTCACTGTAAGTCTCAATCGGAGCCGCTTTTGAATTTAACACATCGATGGTAAAACTTGTTTGTCTCACCTGTTCATTGAGCAGCTGGCTCTGTGCCTTCTGGAAGATTTTTGTTGTGGTTTCTGTAGTCAGCGCTCTTATGTTAAGTTTGCTCATGCTCACATACTAGCTTTAGGCAGTCCTTCCCAAAGTTGGTTAAAATGTCTTAATGCATGCTCAATGATCCAGGTAAGGAAATCCTAAAAAGTTGATTCTGTTCAAGTGAACATTGCGTTTTCAGTGGAACAAATATTCTGTCATTCATCCAAGTGACTTCTTCAACCTAAGCTTCCTGCAGGTTTCCCCAACCTTATAAACAGTACATCTGCAAAATGACTGAAGCTACACTGATTAACAACGGGCCGTGGTGTCACCAACAAACTAAGCCCAAATCATCGCCCGTGCTTGAAAGTTGGTGTGAGATGTTTGTCTTGATATGCTGTGTTAGTTTTCTCCAAATATAGCAGTGCATTATGGCCAGACATCTCCACTTTGTTCTCATCTGTCCAAAGGACATTGTTCCAGAAGTCATGTTCCCTTTAGAGGAAAGAGGAATTCAATTGAATTCAACGGAGGGTGAAATTAATGTGGCAACAAAACAGACTGAGTGGTATTATTAGCAAGTGCCAGTAGCCCTTGGTTAAATCTAGCATCAGTGCCTAACCGGTCAAGGAGCTCATCGACCCGGTACATGGGGTAAGCATCAAACGGTGACACTTCATTCATCTTGCAGTAGTCAACACAGAACCGTTTAGACCCTTCTTCACCACAAGAACTACGGCGCTGCATCAGGCGCTGCATCAGGCGCTGCATCAGGCGCTGCATCAGGCGCTGTGCGACTCTTTGCCATCATTGCTGCTGTTGCATAATGGGGCACAAGATGACCTCTCTTGACAGTTCTAATAAATATGAAAACATTCTTCTCCACAACAGAAACCTGTAACAGAAACCTTGAAAAAAGGTGGGTAGGGCTAAAAAGAAATATAAAATAATATCTACAGCTCACATCTGACAGTCAAACAATTAGAACTGTTAATGGTAAAACACTCCCCCCTAGTGGTCAAAGTTCCAGTTAAACTTCTGTATAGAACAGGGGTCGGCAACCTGCGGCTCTTTTGTCCTTATACTTCAGTATTTAGCTAAAGTGTATTTTATTTGTCTTTAGTTCTTTTTTTAACTTGTAGTTCTAGAAGATTATTGTGATATTGAAATATAAAATAAAATTATTTTATTATTTTTCATCGCTCAAAATAAGCGTCACACTCGCGGAAGCCGGTGTACCCGCCGAAACGCCTGCATTTATCGAGACTTTCAACCCCAGGTAGGCCAATTATGGATCTTCGGATCTACATTATGTCAGCAGCTCCACCGTGAACTATGTTACAAACAAACACCGCTCACGCCTCACAGACGACAGCTTACAGTCCTGCGTAAACTGACTTCGTATATCCCCGATCTGCAGAGGCTGTGCGCAGAGGTTCAGGAGCAGAAGTCTTATTGTAAACAT